AGGGAGCCCGATGCGGGACTCGATCCCGGGACTCCAGGATCATGACCTGAGCCGAAGGCAGTCGCTTAACCAACTGAGCCACCCAGGTGCCCCGACATTGTGTTCATTTTTTAAGAATATGTATTATAGTACTGAAGTTCCAAAAACAGAGTGCAACAGAATGAAAACCATAGCTCCCGACAAAGACATCCGCACTGGGATGCACCAAGGCAGCCCTCCTTTGGAAGGCTTTCTGACCTGCCTCCGTTACCTTGAACTTGGTCTCCTGTGCCGATCTCTGTGCAGGCGATGGAGGATTTCTCAGGGGTCGTGGCCTTTCCTTCTGTCTAGCCTCCGCCCCACAGGACTCCTGGAGTTCTAATCACACAGCTCAGACTTTCAAAGGGCCATGTGATTTTATTTCTGTTTGAGGAAACGTTGGGACAGAACGTAAAGAAGTTAGCTATGGTTGTATTGTCTCATACTCGCCCCCTTCTGTTTGACTCCAAGTATTCCTTGATCTCTTCTAGGTCCTTATTTTTCTTGTTTTTGTTTTTTGTCAGTTCCTCCCTAATGCAATCCTTGGGTCATGTTTTAGGGCTGCCGAAACAAAGTACCACAAAATAACACGAGCTTATTGTCTCACGGTTCTGGAAGCCTGGGAGTCTGAATCTGTCGTTGACAGGGCTGGGCTCCCTCTGGAGCCTGTAGGGGCAGAATGCTTTGCCTCTTCCAGGCTTCTGGTAGCCCCAGGTGATTGTTGGCTGGGGACTGCATCACTATAATTTCTGTCTGTCTTCACATGACGTCCTCCTTGCTGTCTGTCCTCTTCTTACAGGGACACCAGTCCTATGGGATTAAGGACCCACCCAATTCCAATATGACCTCATCTTAATTTAAATAATTCCATCTGTAACAACCTTAATTCCGAATCAGATCACATTCTGAGGAACTGGGGTTAGGACTTCAACATATATCTGGACATTGCCGGGCATGGTGGGGGAAGAGCACACACCTAATTCAACCCATAACACCATCTTTCAGTTTTAGGTTAACAGCCATTTATTAAGCACCGACAAGGTAACGCATCATGGGAGTAGGTTGCCTTGAGTAATAACCCCTGCCTTTTGGGGAGTCACAATCTTTTTTTTTTTTTTTAAAGATTTTATTTATTTATTTGAGAGAGAGAGAACACATGAGAGGGGATAGGGTCAGAGGACCAAGCAGACTCCCTGCCGAGCAGGGAGCCTGATGCGGCACTCGATCCCGGGACTCCAGGATCATGACCTGAGCCGAAGGCAGTCGCTTAACCAACTGAGCCACCCAGGCACCCGGGGAGTCACAATCTTGTGGGAAATAGCTAAACATTCCAGTGGCAGTGACCAGCGAGGCATAGGGTTTTCTGGAGGCAAGATGGGACAGGCCATCATTCAGCCCAGAGGGCAGGCTTGAACCAGACCTGCCCACGGAGCTGGATGAGCTCGGAGTGGGGCTGACAGCAGAAATTCATACCAGCAGGCAGAATGAATGGCCCTGGGCACTCCAGCCAGACAAGCAATTGCAATGTGACAAGAAGGGCCCTGGTCTCTGGACTGGGGCCCTGAGCTTCAGGGACAGGGCTGTAATCCTCAGGGAGGTGTCCAGGTAAGAACGGGACACAGCCGTCTTTCACACGTGACTTGATCATAGATTCAGGAGTGATAAAGTTGCCAGCCTTAGCAAGTCAAAATACCGAATGTCCTGTTAAACTTGAATTTTCAGATTGATAGCAAATAGTTTTTAGTATCTCCCAAATATTGCATAGAATATACTTCTCCTGAAAGATTACTCATCTTCTAGGTTTTTGTTTTTGTTTCCTGGCAACCCTAGGGGAGGAGGGGTAGCAAGGGGGCAGAACTGGTCTGAGAGACTCAAGTTCAACTATCTGGGTATAAGAACAGGGGCACATTGCTGGGCCAAAGGGAAAGGAAGAGAGGGAGTTGTATAACCCAGGAACTTGTCCTGACGTGAACCATGTCAACACTGAGGTGAATCAGATGACCTGTCAGAACAACATAAGTACTTCCGGCCTCAGATTTGGCTCAGAAAGTGAAGTGGATTGATGAAGAGGGTGGAGTTGGGGAAGATTCGGTGCGAGCAGATGAATTCGTAACTGTCAGTATTTCCAGGAAAATCTGTGCTAAGTGCTATGGTTGAAGCCCAGAGCGTTGTAGAAAGGAGAGAGAAATTCTCCCTGGAGCAAATAGGGAAGATTTCCTGGAGAAGGTGGGATCTGAGCGGGACCTTAGGGAGAGTAGAACCTAGAGACACCTGCTCTGTCTTAGTTTGGGCTGTATAATAAAACACCATGCACAGGGTTGACTTAAACAACAGACATTTACTTCTCACAGCTCTGGAGGCAGGGAAGTCCAAGGTCAAGGATATC